GTGCTGACAGCATGGAGCCTGCTTGGGATTCTTTCTCTCCCTTTCTCTCTGTCCCTCCTCCATTCACCTTCTCTCTCTCTCTCTCTCTCCTTCTCTCTCAAAATAAATAATCATTAAAAAAAAAAAATAAAAGAAGACACACAAAAAATGTATGTTTAAGGTGATCAAAGACATAGAATAGAAACTGTAATCTTAAGAAAGAAACAAAATACACCTAAATAGATTTTAAAAGACAAGCAAACAGCACTCCCAGAAATGAAAAAATACAGTCACCAAAATTATAATTCTTAATGGACAAGTTAAACAACAGATTAGACATAGCTCAAGAAAATATTAATGAATTGAAAATAGGCCCGAGAAAATTACTCAGACTGCAGTAGCAAGAGATAAAAATAATAAAAGAAGGGTAAAAAGATATGAAATACAGCATGAGAATGTCTAATATATATTTAATAGGGATGCAAGAAAAAAAGAAGAGGTAAAATGGAAGAATGGCAATATTCAAATAATTAATAACTAAGAGTTTTCCAGAATTGATGAAAGACATAAACCATCAATTCAAGAAGCGTGAGAGTCTCCAACAAGAAAATAAAATAATGCCACAGCTAAACACAGTGTAGTGAAACTGAAAAACACCATAGACAAAGAGAAAAACCATAAAAGCAAACGGAACAAAAATCAATAATCCAGAAATAACAAGTCAGCCAAAGACTTTCCCCAGCAGTGATAGTGGCAACATAGTGAAATATATCACCAAAAGTCTAGAGGGAGAATAAATGTCAAAGTAGAATTCTATTCCCAGCTGAACTATTACTGATAGCTGAGGGATAAATAAAGACCTCTTAGATAAATAAGACCAAGTGATTTACCACCCACTGACTCTTACTTAAATAATTACAGAAAACATACTTTGGGAAGAAGAAAATTTATGTATTTATTTAAAAAAATATTTTTTAAAGTTTATTTATTTTTTGAGAGACAAAGTGTGCACAAGTGGGGGAGTGGAAGAGAGAGAGAGGGAGACACAGAATTGGAAGCAGGCTCCAGGCTCTGAGCTGTCAGCACAGAAACCGATGGGGGGCTCAAACTGCTGAACTGTGAGATCATGACCTGAACCAAAGTTGGACGTAACCGACTGAGTCACCCAGGGGCCTTGGGAAGAAGAAAATGTAAACAGAGGGAAAGAGTAGGAGACAAAAGGAATGAACATCCCTATTATTTTTTTCTATACTTTTTAAAATATGAAATAAAAATTTTAAAAAGCCACAGATAACCCAAGTTAGCTTAAGACACTTGGCATGGGAAAGGTAAAATAATGGTAGGACTGGGCAAAAGCAAATGCTATCAACTAAGCCCATGAAGTGGGGCGCCTGGGCGGCTCAGTCGGTTAAGTGTCCAACTTGATTTCAGCTCAGGTCATCATCTCACGGTTCATGAGGTTGAGCCCTCACGTTGGGCTCCACACTGACAGCTTGGAGCCTGTTTGGGACTCCATCTCTCCCTCTCTCACTGCCCCTCCTCTCTTTTCTCTCTCAAAAATAAATAAATAAACTTAAAAAAAAAAAACTAACCCCATGAAGCAATACTGACTATTGCTGACAATTACTGACTAATCCACCAATATTAATAGATACAACCTGAGCATCTTTTGAGCACAAGGAACAATACTGCTAAACTAGTGAAGAATGTTTGCAAAGAAAAACAAGCTAAAATGTAATTTTGGTAGAATATTTTTCCTTCCTGTCTTTTATTTTCATTAAAGTTAGCTATTTGGATATTGGAAACTCATAGATACAACTTTAATTTTGATGTTGTGTATAACTGATCCCACGCAGGCTGATGTGGAATTTTGAAGAACTTAGTCTTTTGAAAGTAAACTGAAAAATAGAGGTTCCTGAGTATTGCCATAAGTAATAAATCTCTACTTCCAACTTTTTGAAATTTACCCTTACCACTCCCCTACAAGTTCCAATTACATTAAAGACAAAGAAAACAACTTTGTGATTTGATACAAAGCTACATAAACTCAGGCTTTTAAAGGATTCAATGTCTTTCAAATAGACCTATCTGAGCAAGAGAAATAGTAGTGAGCCTTTATTGGAATTCACTTTAAATGTATTATACAAACATCAAAAATAACACCTCTTGGGGTGCCTGGGTGGCTCAGTCAGTTAAATGTTCGACTCTTGATCTCTGCTCAGGTCATGATCTCCTGGTTTGTGAATTCGAGCCCCGTGTTGGGCTCTGTGTGGGCAGCGTGGAGTCTGCTTGGGACTCTGTCTCTCTCTCTCTCTCTCTGCCCCTCCCATGCTCACGCTCCCTCTCTCTCTCTCTCAAATAAATAACGCTCCTCTCTCTCTCAAAAAAAAAATAAATAAATAACACCTCTTGCTATGGCTACAGAACTAACAAATGCACAGTAACATTTTTCGAATCCAGCAGTGAGCCGCAAAATCGACTCCCGTGTATTGCCCCGTAAGTGCACAAGTACAAGGACAAAAATTACTAAGCATTTTTCAGCAGACCAGAAACGGATATGGCACGGAAGCTTACGTCTCTGCCAAAAAGTACAGGGGGAAATAAATAGCCCTTTTTAATAAAAAGCAACAATACTGAAATTTGATTGATACATTTCTTGAACATAATGTTCTTCTACCTGGCACTCAGCATCCAGTGGCCTGTCACTCTAGGCCCACAATAAAGATTTGCTGGTGAAAAGGACTTACACTTTTTCTTTCCCATTTTTCCTGTTTAGGGACGTTTAAGGCGTCTCACTGAAAGGAACAAAATTGTCTACCTCTAATTAAAAGAATGCTATGGCACATAGATTTTCAGACGTGACGTTTACTCCAAAAAGAAAATGCCATCCAATCAAATGCCAGGCTGAGTGAAGAAAAAGTTAACCCCAAACTACCCCACTTAATAAAGTTTCAAATAATGGCATTTAAACTATTATTTTGGAAAGAGGGATGGCTCAAAAGATGTCAGGGCCTAGTCTTAGCATCTCTTTAAACTTTGGTACAACTTCCCAGCTCCTTAGGGAAATGCACTATGACAAACAATTTCAGAGACCCTGATCTGCCACGGTGAAGGAATAACTCCTCCTTGTGCCTTACTGCTCTCTCCTCCTTAAACTCCCCCGTGACCTCTGGACCCAAGCTGGCTTCCCACCCTCCGCCAGGGGAGGGAGTCCGGGCAGCCTCAGAATCTACCCAGGCGCGCAGAGGGTTCACGGGATCAGCACAATTTGGGGCAATGAGAATTTGGGTACTTGATCTTTGGCCAGTTTAAGTTATAGGAGAGCCCTGTGTTGGCTGGTTGTAAGACATTAAAGAAGGTATCTTCACGTGTGGACGTCCACGTAAAGATGCAACAGAGTGTAGAGGGTTCAGAGGCGGGCTCTGAAGGTACTAGGCTTGAGTTCATATCAACACTGTGTGGCCTTAGGCAACTACTTCGCCCTCTCTGTGCCAACGTTTCCATCTGTAAATGGGGATATAAATACTACCTACCTAAGGTTATTGTAAAGGTTAAAGGAGACACTAAATGAAACACAGTGCCAGGCACGTAGTAAGTACTCCAGAAATATTAGCTATTATTAGCAGAAAGAGTAGCAGAAAAATAAATTTCAAAAATAAGTGAATGTGGAAAAGGTACCGCACCGAGGTGTAAATGATTAAAACTATAAAACCAAGAAACATTCCCTAATGGGAAGGTAGAATTCATAAAGATAACCTCCACTGATCTAATAAAAACTTTAAAATGCAAAATTTGTAACTGTCAGGCAACCATATACTTAACAAATATTCTTGAATTTTGTTTCCTAACTCTTCAATTGTGCTTCTTACAAAGGTCATTTTTAACAGATGATGTCGAACATCATCTGCTATGTATTTGTTTAGAGACTTGTTGTGGGTTTAACACCATCATACTTAATTATTTTAAGCTCTGGTGCTGCAAAGCAAACCTCTCAGCGTCTTATGCCCCAGGATCCTCTCAGGAGGTACAAAGCCGAGCTTCATAGAAAAAGCTGTGTCACTCTGGATTCCTTGCCTTTTCTCCTACTGGGTTTCTCCCGCCAAGGTCAGAAAACAAGTAATCTGAATCTGCCCATTGGCCTTTCTTCCTTCCTGACTGTCCTTTTGAGGTTCAGTACTCTGTCTTTAGAGCCCTTGTTAGAGCAATTAACATAAGGCTGAAACACATGCCTTATTTTGTAGCAGAATCATCTGCAAAGAAAGATACTGACGTCCACGGACGTTATCTGTCTAATAAGGGACCTAAAGGTAAGTGAGCCGAGATCTCCTGTCCTCCGACTTTCAGAAAACAAAGAGGTGTTTCTGAATGACTCACCAAATAACTTCTTCAGACAATAGATCGCTGAGACCCTACGTTCTCAAACTGGAAGTCCAGGAAGCCACTTGAAGAATGATTTTTTTTTTCTCATTTACTTTAAAAACAGACAAAAGATTCCGACTCAAGTATAAATGCATGGCAGGGACTCTGAACACAGTTTTTCTAGGACTCACACTTCCTGTTTTTAAATTATGCTTATTACTGTTCAAATGCAGTAATGAAACATGCCACAGAAATGTATTTGCTAAGGATTCTTTTAAAGTTCTTGACTCTCTGTTTTTTTTAAGTTTATTTATTTTGAGAGAGAGAGCATGAGTGGGGGAGGGACAGAGAGAGAGAGAAAGACAGAGAGAATCCCAAGCAGGCTTCACACTGTCAGTGCAGAGCCTACAAACCGTGCGATCATGACCTGAGCCGCGATCAAGAGCTGGAGTCTCAACTGACTAAGCCACCGAGGCGCCCCTCTCATTTTTTTCCCCTCTAAATCGGGAAACTTAATCATAATCTTTTAAAAAAATCACCTGTGGAATCAAAAACACCTTTGGAAATCTGGGGGAAAACAATCCATCTTTCCTCAGAGCTTTAACGTTCTACTATATTTAGTATAAAGACGAATTGAAACAGGTGTCGTGGCACATACTCACCAGAGGCTCTGCCATGATGATGCGAATCTTGCGCTCAGCCTGAGTGGTAAAGTTGACGAATAAACTCTTGAGGACATATTCTCCTGGTTTACTGTCTGGGTCCACGTTGATGGGTAACATGGTTGGCGGCCCTTTCTCTCTCTGTGTGCCAGAAACAGGTGGAACTGGAGGCTTGATATAACCGTTGCCAACTGGAGAAGCTGAAAAATACAACAGATGTTCTTACCGGCTGAAAATAACATCCTAAATATCCAGATTGGCTGTATTAAGCCATCAACGTACGGATATGAATCATATGAAGAATGCTGCATTTGATGTCATAACCTGGCCGTGTTCTTTAGGAATGGTGTCAGGGGCACTTGAGTGGCTCAGTTGGTTAAGTGTCTAACTTCAGCTCAGGTCACGATCTCACGGTTGGTGGGTTCAAGCCCCGCATCTGGCTCTGTGCGGACGGCTCAGAGACTGGAGCCTGCTTCAGATTCTGGGTCTCCCTCTCTCTCTGCCCTTCCCCAACTTGTGCGCTCTCTTTCTCTCTCTGCCTCTCTCTCTGTCTCTCTCTCTCTCTCTCTCTCTCAAAAATAAATTAATTAATTACAAAAAAGGAATGGTGTCAGAATGTAACTATTTTGATTACATTAAGTTTGCAGTATGCCATGTTTGATAATCTCAAAGTATTTCTGGTTATTACATTGCTTTAGGTAAACTGTTTCTTTTTTAAATTTTTTTAATGTTTACTTTTGAGAGAGAGAGACAGAGTGCAAGTGGGGGGGGGGGGGGGGCAGAGAGAGGGGGAGACACAAAAACCAAAGCAGGTTCCAGGCTCTGAGCTGTCAACACAGAGCCCAATGTGGGGCTCGAACCCATGAACCGTGAGATCATGACCTGAGCTGAAGTTGGATGCCCAACCCACTGAGCCACCCAGATGCCCCTAGGTGAATTATGTTGTAAGCATACAACATAATTGTTGATGTTGAATTATGAATCCTACAACATTTAAGATGTTTTTTGCTTGTTTTTTATGTGCCAGGGAAATGGACTAAGAAAATATATATGGAAAAAAAGTGATTTCCTGTCCTGGTTTTCCTAATGGCCAGGAGCTCTCCGTGCTTCATTCTAAAAAAGGAAAAGACTTCTGGGGTGGTGACTTCCAGAAGTTTCCATGACCCAGAAGTTTCAGAAGCCCATTTGGCTCTTGCTCCTGAAAGAGATGCCCCTCTTGAAAGATTAAAGGCTCAGGCAGTGCCCCATCTATGCCATCCGAGATGTGCATTTGACTTTTCACTCACGCCACCATTCGGCTCAAGTTGGGCTACCTCTCCTCACCTCTTCTAAAATGTGCAGGTTCCCTGCTTGGATTAGATCTTGAACAGAGGCAGCTGTGAGAGTCCCTAGTGAGTGGCCTCCTTTTAGAATGCAACAGAGTCAGACAAGTATTTTAATTTGACAGAGAAAGCAATTTTTATTCGTAAATGAAAATTTCACGTCTCTCTACTTTTTACTGTACTTTGGCATGTCAAATTCTAACATGCGCTATCTCCTTCCACCTAAGTACTTGTGACATGGTTGGTCATGATAGCCAATGAAAGAAATGTTGAGTTAAGTGGCTTAGGACAGGATGATGATAAAGTAACTTTTTGAAAGTTTATTTATTTATCTCGAGGAAGAGAGAACAGGGGAGGAGCAGAGAGAGAGAGAGAAAATCCCAAGCAGACTCCACACCGTCAGCATAGAGCCCAATGCGGGGCTCCATCTCACGAACTGTGAGGTCATGACCTGAGCCAAAATCAAGAGTTGGACGCTTAACCAACTGAGCCACCCAGGCGCCCCAATAAAGTAGACTTTTTAAAGGAAGGCTCTCCAGCTCAGGGTGGCTGAATACGGAGATTAAAGAAAAGATGAAGAAAAAAGGGGACTTCATTTGGATGCTGGTTTGGATAGCAAGAGAAGGGTGGCCTGTCACTGATAATGAAAGAGGGAAAAAGTTCTCCAGGAAAGCTGAATACTTTTCTCAAAACTGAAAATAAACTCAAGTCTTCTCTTCCCTTCTTTCTATCCCAAGTAAAATTCTGAGGAAGCCAATGAAAAATTGTATTTATTTTATCGGATGACAAACATGTCCTTGTGTTAGGGTCTATCTCCTCTTTCCCTATGCTCCTTTCTCTCTAATCCATTCGACCTGCCACACAGTTGAGGGGACGCTTACATCTGGAGGATCTTCCCATATCTCAACTACCAGCACACTTTATGGCTTCTCAAGTTATAAAACTAAAACATGTTTTATGTATGTTATTCCATTTCTTCTCCATTCTTATGAGCTCCATCCTGGTCCAGGCCTTTGGAAACTTATGGCTCAATTACTATAGCAGCCTCTGTGCTGATTTTATTTCATTTCTTTCATATACCAAATTTTTCTTTACCATGGCTTTACATTTTTTTTTTTCAGTTTATTTATTTATTTTGAGAAAGACAGAGACTACATGAGCAGAGGAGGGCTAGAGAAAGGGGGAGAGAGAGAGAGCGTCCCAAGCAGGCTCCACACCATCAGTGCAGAGCCCAACATGGGGCTTGAACTCACGAAACCATGAGATCACGGCCTGAGCAGAAACCAAGAGTTAGACGCTTAACCAACTGAGTCACCCAGGTGCCCCTTCACCATGGCTTTAATTATAACTTTTTTTTTCCTCAATATTTTCACTGGCTCTTAATTCCCATCCAGCCTTCACACATGGTCTGGTTTTGATAGCCTTCAGCAGTTTGCTTCCACCCTGTCCCCAAGCCAGGCTGATACCCTGGCTGGCCCAGGAGCACACTCTTTTTCCCTATGCCTTCCTCCTTTCTCTCTTCCTGCTCCTTTCCACTCTTCTCTGATCATCTAACTCTCTTGTCCTTTCAGAGCCACGTGTAGATCGATCTCCACAAAACCTACCTCCACCTGCCCACTCTTCCCTGGTAAGTCTGTATTACCAGATTTAGACACTTAACTCATGTTCTTTGGCCTTTTACATCCTACATTACCTAAGAAAGACTCAGAAGATAGCTGACAAGAGAAGTAATTATCAGTTGGTCACACAGTTTTGCCAAGGCTTGGCCCCATAACTGAACCATATACTCTTCTCCGTGTTTTCCTCTGAAAGTTCCCGAATAAGACTGTAGCCTCCTAGTCTAATACAGAGTTCTTTATACAGATAATACTCAGTAGATCTCCTTAAGTAACAACCTGAAATGACACCTTACTTTATTTCTGTACATCTTGACTCATAGGGAGGGAGCTCTCAGAGACGAATCAGTAGTTAGAGTCATTAAAGGGAGAGGGTGCAGTACTTGCAAGGAAGAGTCATTAGTTAAACAGCACTTGAAGCTGCTTCCTAAAAGGCATGATTGATTCTAATCGGACATATTCAAAATCAGGTGATGCAAATGAAGTTCTGGTCGGTCACTCCTCTGCCTTTACCTGCTTCTCCTCAGTGCAGGTGCCTTTTGGAAATGGGAAGCCTGGGATCCCAAGACCAACTTAATAAAGGGACTAAGGTCTCCAGGAGGTATTTTCCTCACGTTTCCAGGGCATTGTGCCATAGGGCTGGAAATTGGAATAGAAACTGAGAGTGTCTAAGTGAAGGACAATCTTTCATTACCTTTAGTTTTCCACAGGATTTAATCCATTTCTAGAAGACAGCACTAATCAGCTTGATGTAATACATAATTGCAAGATCAGATCCATAATTGAAAGACTCTGGGGCCTAAAAGTCCCGACCCCAGTGAGAGAAATTTCAAGAGTGACCTCTGGCAGTCTTCTGAAATGTTGCGTCTTGAACCAGATAGCTGAACTCCAGATACCAGGATGTGTCTCTGATGAATATTCCATTTAAACGGCCAAGGTACCAATTCACTGCTGTCATAAAAAAAGTTAGTCACCTGTACCTCACAGCCAGACATCCTTGTGAGTGCAAGAGTCTACACAGCCTTGGAGAGGAACTATCCTAGCCCAGCAGAGCCCTGTGTCAGAGCTGAAAGAGATTCAAGGGGAGGGCGCCCATCATTCCTGTTTTAAACAGATCAGCTGGGCATATAGAGATGCAGTAAAATTTAATGGGGTAAATGTCCTTGAACAAGATCCACTCTGTTTTAATAGCTCTCTGTATCCTACCATAATTGATTCATAACAAATCCTAGCCTTTTGTCGGAATAATTTTCAAAAGTAAACATATGATGCAGCACCTTTCAGGAGCTCAGTTATTTGGTGACAATACATATTCCCTGGTAGTCAAAATTGAGTCACAAAGTCTCTACTAGTCTAAATATGAGAACATTACCACTAGAAAACATCATTAGATTTTTCCCTGTGTACTTGCTTTTAATCTACACATAATTAAGATCCACTGTCCAGTTTTGAAGTTCACAGTAGTCTGGAAAGAGAAAATTACAAGGAAAGACGCAACATCTTGGGTAGAAACGCTAATAGCAAAAGAAGGGGGTGGGGAAGGCACTACTCTAAAAAGGCTCTGTAACTTAAAAATGCAGTTGTGTGAAGCCATTTGGCACAAGGCCACAGAATCAGACACTCTGACAAGTGTGGGGGCAGTGACAGATCCATCTAGCATGTTGTCACAACTAATATTCATGATGATGACCTTAAGTCCTATGGAAAAGCTAAAATAAGTTTGATAGGTAGTCCTGTACTTGAGAAGGTGGGAAGAAGAGTGATGTAAATTTCCAAAAGGTAAGCCCAAAAAAAAGGTTTGGGGTATAAAGGGTAAATAACAACCTTAAGAATTTCACTCTGAAGAATTAATCTCTTTCTTCATAGGTCTGATTTTTTTTTTTTTTGAGAAAAAGAGAGAGAGAGACAGAGACAGAGAGAGGGGGGGAGACAGAGAGAGAGAGAGAGAGAGAGAGAGAGAGAGAGAGAGAGAGAATCTTAAGCAGGATCCATGCCCAGAGTAAGCCCTACTCGGAGCCCTGATCTCATAACCATGAGATCAGGACCTGAGCCAAAACCAAGAATAGGTCGCTCAACTGACTGACCCACCCAGGTGCCCCCATAAGTCTAATTTTTAACTGGAACTTATTTTTTATTGCAACATACAAACCACCAATGCAGTAATAGTCACACTTTGGCCCCTTTCTGGCTCTGCCGAAGCAGGCATTACTGTCTGAATCGACTCTTCCCACCACGGTGTTGCCACCACTTTCTGTCCAGCCA